CACACACACACACACACACACACACACACACACACACACACACACAGGATGAAATTACACAAAACTTCTGTAAAGGAAAAATAAAGAAATGTTATTTTGAGTGAAGAGTCGGGTTTAGTTCGCTACAATATTTCATTTTGGACTCAAACTCTCAAATGGAGCATTAAATAAAACAGGAAATTAAAGCCAMAAATCAAGATATTTTATATGTTGTTCAATTTTATATACAGTATTGTTAGCCTCATAGCATACTGTAYATGCCYAAGTCATTTGTGAMCAAATGTGTCTTGGGCGATTATGCTATAAGGCTAACRATATGCTGCAAAAACWTCTTAATATAGTAACAATGTAAAACAACTTTTTCCRCAAACTGTCATGCCAGCAGCGCTGTGGAAACAGTTCTGAGTTTGTGCGCAAATGCATAAAGCTTCAAACCATGAAGATAATATTGCCTCAGGTTTAAGACTCAGTGGAGTGATTTTAAAATAGATGTGATGCTTTTAAATCCTTTTTCACATTAAATCCTTCAGTTGGGTCTATAGAAAGTGGAACTGTAATGAGTTGGTTTGAATTTCACCTTACTGTAACTCCACAAGCCCCCCTTTTCTGAGGTGTGTCTCAGATCAACTTGTTTAGAAGCTGTCTCTTTAAATCCAAACCAGCTGCTTCAAACCCCGCCCCCTCCAGACTGGTTCATTCTAGTTTGGTAGAGGGGTTTATGATTACATTAGGCTGGTTAAAACCAGACCCTTGTCCTTCACTTTGTAGAGGGTCTAGACTCTCGGCTATAGAGGAGCAATTCTTACTGGAGGCGTGGCCTCTGCTGAAGTTTAAAATGATTGGATCGGTTGGCTGTGACGTATGGGTGCCAGCTCTACTGTGAAGGAGGCTAAGCTAAGAAGCTAACTGGAAGTTGCGKGCGCTGTAAACAACCCTACTGAGAGGAGAAATATACCGAGCCGAATGAGACAGCTGTAAATGAGAGCTGCTGCTTTGTCAGACTAATTTAATTTAATTTGAAAGCCTTATCAATGCGGACTGGCTTCATTCACTTCCTCCACTGCCGTATGYTAAACTAACTGGCAAACACTGCACAGAAAATCAGTGTTGTTCAAAACCCCGCCTTCTGTTTTCTGAATGGCCCAAATGAAATTCTGCTGAAGAAATCCTTGTCTATGGGAGAAATCCCAGACGGAGCAATGAAGGGAAACTGAGTGGAACTGTGTAGGAAGGCAAGGACCAGGCTATGATTATATAGCTGCGCAGAAACATTTTATTTACAAATGAATTAAAAGATGTCAACAAGGGAAGACTTGTCCTTCCTGCCTAAAATGTTKGAACCAGAGTCTGATCCAGAACCAGAGTAGAAAGAAGACCACCAAACTGTAGTTGGTAAGTTCAGACCTTATTTAGCAGTTCTCTCACAAATAATTTGATGTAATATTTCAGAAAACATCATAGAAAATAGAGAAAACWGAACAAGTTTAAAAAAATCTGACCCAAACAGAATATAAAGATATCGTTGCAGCACCAGGAGAGAAAATTCAAATTAAACTTTTCTGCCTCCTAGAGACTCCAACTACACAACTAAAAGTATTTAACAGCTAAAACAGGGGACTTTGCAGACATRTCTCCTTTAAGAGAATCTGAGGATGAGGCTGGATAAGAAGTGGATGTGAAAACCTTCATTATCCTCCATCTTCAGGTGAACTATTTTCACCACTTTGTACCACAGAATGGGTACCAAACAAAGCTGCCTGCTGTAGGTCTCTTTATTGGCCCCTCCCCTCAGTGRCCCCGCCCCCAACACAGAATGATTTATTCTGTTGTAGACTTTTAAATAACTCTGCCTTTTAATGATCCACTTAAACATATAAATTCTGACAAACAGCAGTTCGGTCTGAATATGTTTGTATAAATGAGACATGAAACACGGGTTCACCTTCTTGAGGGGGTTCAGGGTCCCAGGCGGCCCACATCTGCACGCTGAAGAACGGGGCCCAGCAGACGGAGTAGACCARAACGATGACCAGCGTCATCCTGACCGTCTTCGACATCGCCGCCGTCACCTCCCCACCCTGAGCAGCAGGGGGGGCTTTGGGTGTGTGTGGGGGTGCTGCTGGGTCAGACTGAAGCTCAGCTGTCATGAAGAACAAAAAGCAGACGTGGCTTTAAAAGACAACGTAAAAGATGTATAAATCATCTGTGGCTGTTTGAAACGAAACTCTTTTGTGTTTGTTTACCAACAACTGGTCTGTTTCTGGTGTCTCAACAGTGCAATAAAAGGACCCAGACCTGTTGGTCTCCTGGTCTGGATTCTGTCTCAGTTTTACTGCAGACTCTTTCTTCTCTGCAAAATGTTTCATGTCAGCCTCCTGGTCTCGCTCCTCCTCACCAGTGTCCTCATCTAGACCTGATCCAGAACCTCAGGGACAGTGTGTGGTTGTGCTGCCATAGAATGAACTGTGAGAAGGCCTCAAAAAGACTTCATCACACCAGAACTGCAAGAACAGTTCTGTTTAAACTGAACCAGCGACAACGGTTGTGGTTCCTGTTAGTTTGGGACAAATTTCAGTAGTTGTTGCCATAAAAGGTAACCTGTGTGAGTGGGGAAGGTTTTTTGTGACATATGAGGACAAAATCAAGACAAAACACCTACATGTGGGGAAAACTGATACATATGGTGACCTAAGCTGAGTCCCCATTTAGTTTAAATGCCATTGGTGGGATGGGGGTTCAATGTAGGGCCAAGGTGTGAATTGAGTTTAGGTTAGTTTTAGGGTCAGGTAGGTACCTGTGGGGTTTATCAGGGTTAGGCTATAAAATTAACAGGAAATGAATGGAAGTCAGTAGAAGTCCAGGAGGACCAGGAACCCTCAGAAAACTGAGTTAACACTGACACCAAGTGTCTAAAATGAAAACTTTGTCCATTTAGCCTCGTCCCCCCATATTAAGCCTCCCTAAAATCATGTACAATAGGATGCCTTCAGGCCCAGGCCTCCCTTGAAAAAGAGATCTGAGATCTCAATGGGACTTGCCTGGTTAAATAACAGTAAATCATTCAATCAATAAATTAATTAATTAATTAAGCTAACCAATAACGCTAATGCTAAATTTACAAACGGCTAAAATTCAGCCATTTTTAAGTATTCACAGCTAAAGATTTATACTGTACATAACCAGAGAATAATGTTTAGTAAAAAATACAAACACAGAATTCAACCATGTGCCAGTGGTGGCACTTACTATTCTGGCCACCCTTCTAGTTCCACCCATGGGTTCAGGCTCATTGAGGAGCTGGTGGTCAGACTCACCTGTGCTGCAGGTGTGAGGTTCAGGCTGTGTTGTGACCCTGCTGGACCTGAGTGGACTCAGTGGCAGGTTCTGTTGTGTGGAACCTGCATCCACGCTGCCCTGACTCTCAGGGTTGTGGAATGTGAGGGGGGAGACACAAGCAGGTGCAGTGGCCTCCCCTCCACCTCCTCCTCTCTGGCTTTCCTGTCTCACTGGGGGGAGAGGGGCGGGGGACAGGTGGCGCCCTGATTTCTGGTACAGGTTGTGATAAATTTCCATGAAGATGCGAACCTGAGGAGRAAACATGAGGGGTTCTGTGACGACTGGGCCATGTTAATGTTTCACACCTGTTCAGGTGTGCTCTGTCCACCTGTACCTGGCAGACAGTGATGATGAGGACAGGGATGATGAAGACAGCCAGGGTCATCCACGTCACGTAGGCTTTGAGGCCCCAGGACTCTGCAAAGGTTCCCCAGCATTCGTAAACCCCCGGAGCCACTTCTGAACGGGAGAAGATGAAAACCTTCAGGCCGTGGGGGGAGGGGGGCAGGGGGGATATGTGAAAACGTGACATTTGTAAAACACATTCTGTACAAATCCCTTAATAAATAAATAAAAATTCACATATAAAAGCAGTCAAACGCCTTCTCCCAGTCCACAAAACACATGTAGACTGGTTGGGCGAACTCTCATGCACACTCCAGGACCCTGGTGAGGGTGTAGAGCTGGTCCACTGTTCCACGACCAGGACGAAAAATACACTGCTCTTCCTGAATCTGAGATTCGACTATCTGACGGACCCTACTCTCCAGAACCCCTGAATAGACCTTACCAGGGAGGCTTAAAAGTGTGATCCCCCTATAGTTGGAACCCACTCTGCGGTCCCCCTTTTTAAATAGGGGGACCACCACCCCGGTCTGCCAATGCAGGGGAACTGCCCCCGCTGTCCACGCGATATTGTAGAGTCGCATCAACCAACGCAACCCCACAACATCCAGAGCCTTAAGGAACTCCATGCGAACCTCATCCACCTCGGCACCCTGCTACTCGGCACCAGAGATTGGAGAGTCTGACCCAGGGTCCTCAGGCTCTGCTCTCTCATGGGAAGACACGTCCAGAATCACCTCTAAGCCTTACAGAAGTCTTTTTCCATGGCCTCTCAGAACCCCTCCCACACCCAGGTTTTTACCTCAGCGACCACCCGAGCCGCAATCTGCTTGGACTGCTGGTACCCATCGGCTGCTTCAAGAGTCCCATGGGCCAAGAAGACCCGATAGGACTTCTACAGCCTGAAAGCATCCCTCACTGCCAGTGTCCACCAGTGGGTTCGGGGGTTGCTGCCATGACAGGCACTGACAACCTTACGACCACAACTCAAGTAAGCCGCCTGGACAATGGAGGTACGGAAAATGGCCCACTCGGACTCAAGACCCCCGCCAGAGGCGATTGCTCTAAGACTGCAAGRGAAGCTCAGCTTCCCGTAAAATGTCAAAAATATAAGTGATCAAATATATACTGTTGTGTGTACATTTCATTGACTAAATATGCACTACAACGCGCTCAACTTTTGTTCAGAATCAGCTTCTTATCACTGGTAACTGGAGCCAACTCACCACCAGGTAGTGGTCAGTTGACAGCTCTGCCCCTCTTTTCACTTGAGTGTCCAAGACATGTGGCCGCAGATCAGATGAAATTACAACAAAGTTGATCATCAAACTGCGACCTAGGATGTCCTGGTGCCAAGAGCACATACGGACACCCTTATACTTGAACATGGTGTTTGTTATGGACAATCCATGATGAGCACAGAAGTCCAATAACAATACACTGCTCGGATTCCAGTCTCACTGTCATTATCCACGTGACCGCTGAAGTCCCCCAGCAGAACGAGGGAGTCCCCATTAGGAGCGCTCTCCAGCACCCSCTCCAAGGACTCCAGAAATGGTGGATAAACTTAACTGCTGTTAGGCGCACAGGCACAAATAACAGTCAGGACCTGTCCCTCCATCCGTAGGCGGAGGGAGGCTACCCTTTCATTCATTGGGGTGAACCCCAACGTACAGGCACCAAGATGGGAGGCAATAAGTATGCCCGCTCCTGCTCAGCTCCTCTCAGCATGGACAACTCTAAAGTGGAAGAGTGTCCAACCCCTCTTGAGGAGACTGGTTCTTGAACCAAAGCGGTGCGTCAAGGTGAGTCCGACTATATCTAGTCGAAACCTTTCAACCTCACACACCAGCTCAGGCTCCTTCCCCACCAGAGAGGTGACAAAGCACGTCCCTAGAGCCAGCTTTTGTCACCGAGGATCAAACCGCCAAGGTCCTTGCCTTCGACCACTGCCCAACACACATTGCACCCGACCCCTTTGGCCCCTCCCACAGGTGGTGAGCCCATGGGAAGGGGGACCCACATCTCGTCTTTTGGGCTGTGCCCGACCGGGTTCCATGGGTGAAAGCCCGGCCACCAGGCGCTCGCCAACATGCCCCACCTCCAGGCCGGGCTCCAGAGTGGGGCCCCGGTGACCTGCATCCGAGCGTTTTTGTTCCTCTTATGGGGTTGTTATATTTTAAAATATTAATTGAAAAACAATTTTGATTTTATGATAATGATTTCAAACATTTATTAGATTTTATTTTATTTTATTGTCTTCCCTCCATCTTTGTGAGGCCCCCTTGCGCCCCCCACTTTGATTAACAGGATCTAATGTTTTTCCCAGTAACCCAGTAAAGTAGGTGAAGATGTCCCAGCAAGTTAGAGTGGTTTCTGTGCTCTTTAGAAGTTCAGATAACAACAGCAAACATTTTGAATTGGGCTAATTATCACTAATTATCACACAAACACATCACATATTCAGCTTTTACCTTCAACTGAGGGGATAATTAATGTAAAACATGTTCTGCATGTTTCTTGTGTGTTTGGAGCATTTTAAACATGTTCATGTGATCCCGCGTGGTCACATTTTTCTCCACATGGTAAATKCTCATGTTTTTGTTGTGATGTTTCTCACCTGTGGCAGACTGAGCAGCAGGGACAGACCCCATGCCTGTACAATAAAGGTGTTCCAGCGCCTGGAGGCTCCGCTGCGATGGGCCCGCAGGGGAAAGCAGATGGCGTAATATCGATCCACTGTCATTGCAACGATCATGTAGGACGAGGCAAACATCCCCAGGACCTGGAGGTATTTCACCAGGCGACACAAGAAGTCCGGGCCAGAAAATCGAYCCTTAGCATCCCACACCAGCTGTGGTAGAACCTCAGAGGACAGCAGGACGAACAATGAACAGAATTAATTTAGAAGTATCTAAAGAAAGCTGCAACATCAATCCCACCTTCAAAAACACAAAATAACTATAAATCAAACCGTTTGACAGATATTAACCTGCAATGTGTCTGTATCTGAGACTGATCTCCAACAGACTGCAGATCAAGTCTGGATACAACCTTATATTTTATAATTTGTGATCAGTTTTAGTCGTTTACTTTAATTAGGAAGAGAATCAAGAAGTCTGTGTGTCTCCCTCCAGCAGTGTAAAGATAATATTTGTCATGGTCTGTGTTTTTTTTTCATTGTTTTTTCTAGTGTTTCAGCGTTCCTCTGTTTATCTCTGCCCTGCCGTCTGTCTTTCCTCCAGCCCCGCCCACGCTCACATGYTTCCTYTTGTGTCTCCTCCAGGTGTTTCTMGTTGTCTCTCATTAGTTTGCATTTATAATCTGTGTCCTGTCCTCAGTGTTGGTCTGATCATTGTGATGCTTTCCCAGTCAGTGTGGTATCTCCTGGGATCCTYATGTTTTTCATGTTCCTAAGGTTAATAATTTTAGTAAGTATTTTTGAATCTGCCTTGCCAGCCTTTTTTTTTCAATAAAGCCTTATTTGAAATTTGCCTGCGCCCTGGTTTGATCTCTGCGCTCACACCTCACAGAATGACCAGACAAAATACCCAGCCTGCAGGCAAAATGTTTTTTCTGGTCTGCCTTTGGAGGATGGTGACAGAGGGCTGTCGCCTGGGTGACCCATGGTCGGTTCTCCTGCCTCTGATGAACTGGTTCCATCTCTGCYGCTGTGGGAGGACCRGATGATGCATTCAGTGGTCAGAGGAACACTCACGATTCTTCGGTGGTCCTCTATCCTCGCTGACAGGTGCCTCCTCTGACGGCAGATCGAGGGCGTTCTTATGGGGTGCCCCATCTGTTGCTCCCGCCTAGCCACCAGCAGCTCCTCACTTTTGCTCAGAGGATTTTGGCTGAGAAGCSTGATGCCCACCCTCCCACTTGTCCTGCTGTCCCTGAGTCGCCTGCTCCTGCTCCTGAGTTGCTCCAGCCGACAGTTCCTGTTCCTCTGTTGTCTCTGCAGCTCCCGCCTCATCCCTTGGGTCCCCATCTACTCCTGCAACTCCCCTGGGGCTTGGATGGTCTTTGGGCCTCCCCACTAAACTTTATGTGTTTTGTCTTTGAGTCCCTCTTGTGGTGTGTTTTCCTCAGTCCTGTACCTCTCTCCTTCGACAGCTGGAGCTGTTGTTGAGGGGGAGGTACTGTCATGGTC